AGTCGCCTAAGGAGGTTACCTATGTCAACGATAATGCGCCGACTACAGTCACGCGCGCTAAGCGCTCAACAACGAGGTCGATGTCGGGCATCCCCGAGGAAAAAGATGATGATAGCTCGGCCGAGGACGATGTGGACGAGATTTATGTCAAAGATGCCTTTTTGGTTTTCCGTGCGCTCTGCAAGCTGAGCCATAAAGTCCTGACTCACGAGCAGCAGCAAGACGTCAAATCCGCGAACATGAGGTCGAAGCTACTTTCGCTGCACTTGATTCACTATCTCATTAACAACCACACCGCAACCTTTATATCCCCTCTGGCGGTGATCAAGAACAGCCCATCCAGCGCGGATGGAATGAATCTCCTTCTGGCTGTACGGCCTCATTTGTGCCTAAGTCTAAGTCGCAATGGTTCTAGCGCCGTGCCTCATATCTTCAAAGTTTGCTGTGAAATTTTCTGGCTGATGCTGAAGGATATGAGAGTTATGATGAAAAAGGAACTCGAGGTGTTCTTGAAGGAAATTTATCTGGCCATTCTCGAGAAGCGCGGGGCTCCTGCGTTCCAAAAGCAGTACTTCATGGAGATTCTGGAGAGGCTAGGAGGTGATCCACGGGCCCTGGTTGAAATATATCTCAACTACGACTGTGACAGAACCGCGTTGGAGAATATATTCCAAAAGTATGTATCACTGAATTCCTGGTATGCTCGACATAAGCTAACCTTCTTAGTATCATTGAGCAATTGTCCCGGTACTCGAGTGTGCCGGTTGTAACAACATCTTCTCAGCAGCATCAGTACCAAGAACAACACACTAAAATGTCAGCAATTGGTTCCGAATGGCACCATCGAGGAACTCTTCCTCCTTCGTTGACAACCGCGCACATTTTCCCTACTCCGCCGCCCTCGATGCCTCACATCCCATCAGAGTACGGATTGAAACAGCAGGGTCTGGAGTGTCTTGTAGAGATATTGCGCTCACTGGACAACTGGGCCACGCATCGCATTGATGAACAGCCCGAGGCAGCTATCCCCTCTAAATCTATGGACAACTCCCGTGAGTCATTGGACACAAGCGTGCTTGTTTCACCGCATCCTGAGGCCCTCGAGAGTGGGACGGGCCGGTCCACACCTATTCGCGAAGACGACCCAAACCAGATTGAAAAAGTCAAGCAACGAAAAATTGCTCTCACAAATGCCATCCAACAATTCAATTTCAAGCCCAAGCGCGGCATCAAGGCCCTCCTGAAAGAGGGCTTCATTCAATCCGAGTCTCCTGAAGACATCGCCAGCTTCATGCTTCGCACAGACCGTATTGACAAGGCCGTGCTGGGAGAATATCTTGGCGAGGGAGACCCGGAAAACATCGCCATCATGCATGCTTTTGTCGATCTAATGGAATTTACGAAGCGTCGCTTTGTCGAATCCCTGCGCTCGTTTTTGCAGCATTTCCGTCTTCCTGGCGAAGCCCAAAAGATCGATCGTTTTATGCTGAAGTTTGCTGAACGGTATACAACTCAAAACCCCAATGCCTTCGCCAACGCCGACACCGCATATGTGCTTGCTTACTCGGTGATTCTACTTAACACCGATCAGCACAGTACAAAAATGAAGGGCCGCCGTATGACGAAGGAGGACTTCATCAAGAACAACCGCGGGATTAATGATAACCAAGACCTGCCAACCGACTATCTTGGGGCCATTTATGAGGAGATCGGAAGCAACGAAATTGTGCTATACACCGAGCAGGAACGTGCTGCTGACCTCAACCCTCAACCCGCCGCTCCCACTGGCCTTGCCACCAGAGCTGGACAGGTATTTGCTACCGTTGGACGAGATATCCAGGGTGAGAAATACGCACAGGCTTCTGAGGAAATGGCGAACAAGACAGAACAACTCTATCGCTCCCTCATCCGAGCCCAACGCAAGACGGCAGTTAAAGATGCACTTTCGCACTTCATTCCCGCAACATCAGAGCGTCATGTCGGGTCGATGTTCAACGTCACATGGATGTCTTTCCTGTCTGGTCTGTCTGCGCCGATGCAGGACACGTCGAACCTGGAAACCATCCGGCTCTGCATGGAGGGACTCAAATTGTCCATCCGGATCAGCTGTGCCTTCGACCTAGAGACTCCTCGTGTTGCATTTGTGACTGCGTTGGCGAAGTTCACTAACCTCGGAAACGTGAGGGAGATGATGGCCAAGAATGTCGAGGCCCTGAAAGCCTTGCTAGACGTCGCCTTCACCGAGGGCAACCATCTTCAGGGCTCGTGGAGGGATGTTTTGACATGTGTCAGTCAACTTGATCGGCTCCAACTCTTGAGTGATGGTGTCGATGAGGGATCGCTGCCTGATGTTTCAAGGGCACCCTCATCGGCAGAAACTTCCCGCAGATCTATGCAAAGTACGCGACGCGCTCGTCCTCGCTCTGTGAATGGGCCAACTGCTTTCCGCCCAGAAATCGCAATGGAGAGCCGTTCGGCAGATATGATTCGTGGCGTGGACCGCATCTTCACTAACACTGCCAATCTTTCGCATGAGGCCATTATCGACTTTGTTCGGGCCTTGAGCGAGGTCAGCTGGCAAGAAATTCAATCTTCCGGTCATACCGATTCACCCCGAACCTACAGTTTGCAGAAGCTCGTCGAGATCAGTTACTACAACATGACTCGCGTCAGAATTGAGTGGTCTAAGATCTGGGATGTTTTGGGTCAGCACTTTAATCAAGTTGGCTGCCACTCTAATACCATGGTCGTCTTCTTTGCCTTGGATTCGCTCAGGCAACTTTCTATGCGCTTCATGGAGATTGAGGAGTTGCCTGGTTTCAAGTTCCAAAAGGACTTCCTTAAGCCTTTCGAACATGTAATGGCAAACAGCACCACTGCTGCTGTCAAGGACATGATTCTGCGGTGTCTGATCCAGATGATTCAGGCCCGTGGCGACAACATCCGTTCGGGATGGAAGACCATGTTTGGTGTCTTCACGGTTGCAGCACGGGAACCCTATGGTAAGGTTCGCTGCTCAAATTACTCCGTCGCTCGCTAACGCATCAAGCAGAAGGAATCGTAAACATGGCTTTTGACCATGTCACCCAAGTCTACAATACCAGATTTGGCGTAGTGATCACCCAAGGTGCCTTTGCAGATCTCATTGTATGTCTGACTGAATTCTCAAAGAACTCCAAGTTCCAAAAGAAATCGCTGCAGGCAATTGAGACTCTCAAGTCTACCGTCACCAAAATGCTACGGACTCCAGAATGTCCCTTGTCGCACCGCGGTGCCTCGGCGGCCACCTTCCAGGACAATGGAACCAATCTTGCGAAACAGCTTACCCGTCAATCACAAGAAGAGCAATTCTGGTATCCGATTCTCATCGCATTCCAGGATGTACTTATGACGGGAGATGATCTCGAGGTCCGCTCACGGGCGCTCACATACCTCTTCGATACGCTAATCCGACACGGTGGCGATTTCCCCAGGGACTTTTGGGATGTCCTCTGGAGACAACTCCTCTACCCGATTTTCGTGGTCCTGCAGTCTAAGTCTGAAATGTCCAAGGTCCCGAACCATGAGGATCTTTCAGTTTGGCTGTCCACGACAATGATCCAGGCGCTACGGAACATGATCACTTTGTTCACGCACTATTTCGATGCCTTGGAGTACATGCTGAGCCGCTTCTTGGAACTGCTGACGTTGTGCATTTGTCAAGAAAACGACACGATTGCACGAATTGGCAGCAACTGCTTGCAACAATTGATTTTGCAGAATGTTGCAAAGTTCAAGCAGGAGCACTGGTCTCAGATTGTTGGGGCATTCGTGGAGCTCTTCAGCAAAACGACCGCTTATGAACTTTTCACGGCTGCTGTATCGATGTCGAAGCCAGCAGAGGCAGTCAACGGGGACCTCACGCAGTCTCCAGATGCTGCTGTAGCAACAATCCATTTGCCTGATGCGTTACAGCCTAATGGATCCCAAAGCACATCTTCGGTCCAAGACGGTGGAGATCCTCCTGTCCAAAGTGAAGCCCGCGCTGAATTAGAAGACTATCGCCCTCAGTCAGACCAGCAGCAACCTGCGGCTGTCACTGCAGCTCGGCGTCGCTACTTCAACCGCATTATCACGAACTGCGTCCTGCAGCTGCTCATGATTGAAACTGTCCACGAACTTTTCTCGAACGAAAATGTCTATGCACAGATCCCCAGCGGAGAGCTCCTCCGGCTCATGGGACTGCTGAAAAAGAGTTACCAGTTCGCGAAGAAGTTCAACGAGGATAAGGACTTGCGGATGCAACTCTGGCGCCAGGGATTCATGAAGCAACCCCCTAATTTATTGAAGCAGGAGAGCGGCAGTGCCTCCACTTACGTGCATATTCTCTTCCGGATGTATCACGACGAGCGAGAGGAAAGACAGAGCAGTCGCGCAGAGACAGAGGCTGCCCTAATTCCGTAAGTTGATTCCCCCTGCTTTTCTTCTTTTTCTCTCTCTCCGTGTTCATTGCTGATTCCATTAGACTCTGTGCGGACATTATTCGCAGTTTCGTCCGCCTTGAAGAGGACACCCAACACCGCAACATCGTCGCTTGGCGTCCGGTGGTAGTCGATGTCATTGATGGATATACCAACTTCCCGCAAGATGACTTCAATAATCATATCGAGACATTTTACCCGCTCGGAGTTGAGCTTCTGAGCCGTGATCTCAACCCGGAGATTCGCGTTGCCCTCCAATCTCTACTACGCCGCATCGGCGAGGTCCGACTGGGCATTGCTCCGCCCAATCCCCTGGATGTCCCCATAAGCCCGCGCAGCTCCGTCTCCCAAAAAGCATCGCGCCGCGACAGCCAGGTCTGACTTACTGCATGAATATTTGGATATCCTCGCCATGGGCTTGATTTTCGGCGTTTTATAAGCCGACTCTTCGGGGTCTTGTGTTATCACACGAGCATTTTGTTCTACTTTAGAGATGCATAGGTGCTGTATTGATAAAATAAATCATTTCTTGAATTGTTTTTATTTATTCTGTACTTCCTCTACAGTTGGGATCTTACCCGACTCGTAAAAGGATAATACGCTGTCCATATCCTTTTCGGTCATCTGTACAAGCTCATCGAGGGTCCATGTTTCGCAGACACCAGACATCCTATGAGTATTATATTAGCTCACACTTTTCCCTGAACAAGAACTGGACTATTGCAACTCACCATTTCATTCTCTTGGGGCCTTGGTCAGGATGCGGCGCAACCTCCCGGAGTTTCTTCCGTAGCTTTCCCACATTCTCAATGGCTGCCCCCATGTTCGCTGGCAAAGTCTCCGCGATCTTTTTGCGCACAATACTAGCTAGCTTGGGCCCGTTCCCGTTTGTGCTGACCATGACCTGCAATGGCCCATCGCGGTGAACACTCCCAAAATAAAAATCGCATTCGGGCGGGACATCAGCGATGTTGGCAATAATTCGCCTCTCCTTGCAGAGTTTCCAGACTTGTGTTGAAGCCTCTGGGTCGTCGATGGCACAGAGGACCATGTCCACATTATCGAGGTCGGATGGCTCAAAGTTTCGATCAACATGTGTGACTTGCTTTTCTTTCACTCTGAAGGCCACTTCTTCGTTTAGTCCAGAGGCCGGACAAACAACAGTGACCCGGGCATCGGCATTGAGAGCGTGGAGGATGCGTCCTGCAGCAACCTAGCAGAGATATATAGATCAGTCCGAGTCTCAAAAGGTGATATATAGCTGCTATCCGGTGATAATCGCGTACCTCTCCGCCACCTACGACTAGCACGTGCTTGTCTTTAATTTGCCAAGCGAGTATCAACGAACCTCCACCTTGTACTTCTGGAAACTTTGACATGGTGGGATGTGGGAATGATGCGACCCCCCGTTTATCGGCCTCCGCAATAAAGAAAACCCCTACGGTGGGCGACACACACCATCGGCGTAGTATTCCCGAGCTTTTCCTTTCCGAACTTTTTTCTTCCTTTTTTCTCTTCCTTTCACGTCACTGCCTTTCTCTTAAATCATGCGGGGCGTCCAGATATTTTCGGGGAATTCCCACCCTGGCCTCGCAGATACTATCTGCGAGCGTTTAGGCACTGTGCCTGCCAAAGCTAACCTAGGAAAATTTGCCAACGGCGAGACCAGTGTCAACATCGGTACCTCAGTCCGGAACCAAGATGTTTACATCATTCAAAGTGGCAGCGACAAGATTAATGATAGTGTTATGGAGCTCCTGATCATGATCTCGGCGTGCAAGGGTGGCTCAGCGAAGTCCATTACAGGTATGTTTCCGATGACTCCAGATACAAAAGCTTACCCCACTAACTCGTTTCTCTAGCGGTCATGCCGTATGCTGCCCGTCCTGTTTGACTCGAATCACAGACAATGCTGACTCTCAAATGAGATATTTCCCATACTCGCGCCAATCTAAGAAGAAGAGTCATCGTGGTGCCATCACGGCCCGCATGCTCGCCAATCTCCTCACTATTGCTGGCGTGGACCATGTGATCACCATGGACCTGCACGTATGTTTCTATGCGATGTTGAGTTTTGTAATATGGATATTGATGGGCTCCTAGGCATCCCAGATGCAAGGGTTCTTCGGAAAGCCGGTCGACAACCTCTTTGCCGAGCCGTTCATTGCCCGCTGGGTTCGGATGAATGTTCCTGGATGGAAAGACGCCGTGGTGGTTAGCAAGAATGCTGGCGGAACTAAGCGAGTCACGTCACTGGCTGATACTTTGAAACTCAACTTCGGTATCGTGACGACCGATCGTCGGCGCCCGAAGGTCCCCGTGGCCACTATGACTGATAGCACAGTCTTCTTTGATGCCGTGGACGAGGATCCCCTCCCGACCGAGGACGCACAGCCTTTTGAGCTTCGTATGCAAGGTTATAACAGAACAACCGAAACTCCTCCCATTCCGGAAGAGCAGGAGCCAATCACTCCCCCTCCTGCACGGTATCTTCTGCGCCCGGAAACCCCACCTGCGGCCCGCCGCCCGTCGGAGCTGGAAGCAGCATACGAGTACACGGACGTGCGTGTGCGGGATGTGATCACCGGTCGCCTGGTCCAAGGTCAATTGGTTGATGATGATTATCGTGCCAACGAAGACTCACAGTCTGGCGGTACCACACCGGGAGCTGGCAGCAGCAGCCATGACATCACAGAGACTATTCCCGATGCTATGGTTAACTCCATAATCTCCAACGCCTCATCACAGCCTGATCATGCTCTCGGAGGCTCATTTGACGCAGTTGAGTCCGACGACGAAGCTAGTGTCTGTGCGGGCCAGGTCGATGAAAGGACCATCACGCTGGTGGGTGAGGTGCGCGACCGATCTGTGTTCCTTGTGGATGATATGATTGACAAGAGCGGATCGTGGATCGCGGCTGCCGAGACTGTTGTCAAGCGTGGTGGGGCCAGCAAGGTCTACTGTATTGCCACGCACGGACTGTTCGGAGAGAACTCCTTGGATCAGATGGAAGCTTGTCGCTCAATCGACCACATTGTCGTGACCAACACTTTCCCGATCTCACCGTCAATGTTGCGGAGATCAAAAAAGTTGATTGTCATTGATATATCGAGTCTATTGGCAGAGAGTATGCGGAGACACCATTATGGCGAAAGGTTTGTTTTCACCGACCCTGGTGTCGTGTGACCATTCACTGACAACGAGCAGCGTCTCGGCTCTCTTCCACCTTAACGATTGATGAGGCATATGGCGATAACGAGGAAAAATAACGAAACCAAGCAAAGAGAGGCTTCTAGGGTGTCGCTTTTGCTTACTGATGTTCAGGTTCCCCCGCAACCGTTGATGACATGATACCTAATTTCCTATCAAAATGAACGACCTGTTCTGGGCCTTTCCCCCTTCCCCGTTGCCCCGGTTGTCCTCCCCGTCACTACCGTTCCCGGCCTCGTAAAGTAATCATATCACGACCCCTCAAACCAGCGATGCAGTCCACTCTGGGTTCTGCAGGAGCATCTCGTTTTCCACAAGGTGTTCTTAACGGAGCGTTGGCAGATTAAATCGGATCTTGTTTTCTTACTTCATGCTGTGTTCTCTTCGGAGTCCTATAGCATGGAGAAGTCATCCCTTTCTCAGTTCTTCGGAATGATTGACCTGGCGGTCGTGGAAGTGGTGCAAGAGGCGATCTCGAACATAATGTAATTCCATAGCAAACAACACAATTCCAAATTTACACTTTCTTTTGACATTTGACCTCTCAACCTGTTCGATGCAAGTGGAGTTCCCGGTAGAGGTAGACATGCCGAGGATTTCCTTTCCAACGATTGTTCCCGATTTCCTTGTCATGTTGACTTCATTTCCCGTCACACCGACGCGGTTGGCCGTAAATGATTCTGGAAGCCGGTTTGTGATTCGATGGTTTGGTGATCGCCGAGCCCAGAGTGTGTCCACTACGGGAGAGGTATCTACGGATGGTACACGCTTCCAATATGAGAGTGTCGGTGTGCACGTTTCCATTGATCGACGAGACAGTTAGACAGGGCAGAGTTCCCACTTAGGTGTTCCAGGTCACTTGGCATGGTTAACTGGTTACAGGTTCTCTTAAGTATAGTATCTTCTCAGCTCCCGAGCAGATCTCGAACGGCTATGGCTGGCCCGATTTGCAATCCTCAGGTGTGACAGATGGACCTAAGATCACTCAAGCATTCCTTGCAACCCATCGGAGGTGCAGTCTTTCTCCGTTGAATCCCTGCCCATGCTGTAGTTGAGTATACCCCTTCTAAGTTGACAGCTGCAGAGAGGACTCGACCCTAAAAACCTACCGTTGTGTGACCCCAATTGGCTTCCTCTCGGTCATTTTGGTACTCTGTACTCATTTCATAGTCTTTGTACTCTTGTACAATGAGAAAAAGAACTGGAACTGCCCCATCCAGTCGCTGGAGAATATCTTGGCTAGACTATGGTAGAATTCCCAGGCATGTGGATTCACAGATGTGACAGAGATCATAATCCCAAAGAGATTTAACAATTCCATTTTCTTTTCTTTTTCTTTTTCTTTCTTTTTTTTTCCCACGGCTTTGCGGCTATTCAATAAGCAATTGGGCCATGCAAGCGCCGGCACTGCACTAATGCCGCCGGGGGGTATATCCCAAACGGATTTGTCACTTGATGTGACCAGCTGAAAGGCAAATAGTTGACTTGGCTGGAATAGCTTTGAAACAGAAACAGAAATAGCACAAAATGACAAGAGGAGCGTGTGGATCTCTCTTCGGTCTACGCGTCTCCGCGAAGTTGATGTATCAAAAGTCGATAATAGGAATTTCAGGGGTGATCTCTTGAAAGAGAATGAGCAAAGTGTGTAAAAATGCTTATATCAAATACATACAATAGGATATGATAGGAATATCATGCTTCATTCCGTAAATTGTACAAATGATAACCGATCTATGTTAATATACCCTAATGTATACTCTAATAGAATATGCACTCCATCGGAACCGGATTGCTGGGATGCAAAGGTCCGATCGAAAGAAACAAGAAGAAGAAAGAAGAAAGTACTATACTCCACAATTAATATACAACATAGAAACCTCCGATCTCAGTTTAATCCAGGTCGTCGGGACGGGACATGTCTCGACTCTATAATTCAGCTCCACTTCTGACTATCGTCGGATTTAAAGGGATTATAGGATGATACAAGTCATTTCTATCATATTTTGGGGATTTCTAGACTTCCAATTAGGTTGATTCCCCTTTATTCTTATTTCTTTTTATATTCCCAACACTTAAAATATTGGAACTAACAATTCACTCGGGTCTCTTCCGGTTCCCCCCAGCTTTCTCGGAATCACCCTTTGCATGTAGATCCTCCCAATCATGTCTTCCCGATCTCTACCATCTCTCGATGATCAAGGCTGCATTGTCTCTCGTTGTTAGAGGATCTACCTAGCGTCGCCTAAGTTTCTATGCGAGATACGATTTCGGGGGGATCTATCCATTTGGATTTCTCTCTCATATACTCCATACTCCGTACATAAACACACTTCTATCAGTTTATTTCACCTATTCTTTTAAATTCTGGTTTTGTTTTTTTCCCTTCCCTTTTTTTTTCCTAGATGAGGAACTCAATTGAACCCGGTTACATGCGCCATCGGGTTCGTGCTTCGGCCCTTTAGTTGTTGACTGGTTGGATCTGGGATTCTCTCACCGTGATCTCTAGAAAGAAGTATATAACGAGTGATTTGTCTGGCTTTTGAGTCTCATCTTCATCTTGACTTCGAGTTCCTCTTCCCAATTGACTTTGTCTTCACCTCGTTCTCTGAACTCCCTAAACCCTCTTCTCCTCGCTATACCCTATTGGTTTCCTCAATCCAAGTACTTGGAACCTTTCTCCGCTTTTCCAGTGATCGACGCCAGTTCCAGGTCCTTGGGTATTGCTTAGCGTGAGTATCAAAGTTTTGAACACTAAAGGAACCGCAACCTAACTATAACAGCTTTCCCGAGTGTTTGATATCAGAATGGCCAACCAATGTTCCGGTCATGTCTTTGCCATTGTCCAGGCTACCAATGGCAACATCCTTACCTGGCGATGCTCCGACTGCAACTCTGGACCCTTTGTGGCGATCTGGCGCTGCAAGATCTGTGGTCACTGTCGCTGCAATGCTTGCCACACCAATAAGGGATAGATTAATTACGGTAAGATCCCGTGTTACGAACTCTATGATTTGAGATGTTTTCTATATGTTCTCTCCTTGCAAAAGGCTGATTTCCTCAAACAGACACCTGCATTTGCTTTCTAGCATTTACAGCACTGATCTGCTGCTCTGCATGAACCCTGTGTAAGGGTAGTTCCCACCCAACCCCTTGTGGCTGGAAACCGTTT